ATATAAAGAGAAATATCATTATAAACACAAACGATAGAAAACTAAATCAAAGGTCTAAGCCATCAGAGATAGAAAATTGATAGATATAAATGTTTGTTTCGTATATGTACATACATATGTCTAATAATATAATAACTACAAGAGTTATGTTATGTTTTCAGCTAAACAATTATTGAATTCAGCTCAGTGATCGAACGCGTTCCCATATATGTATTGTTATTGTATTTGGAAGCAAACAAATGGGTTTAAGATTCGAGTCAATTAATGAGTCTGGGCCTGACAGGCTTATCAAATTCGAACACAATTCTTTCGCACATCGTTGAGTGTGTATTTTTGGACTGGGGGCAGTCAGGAGTGCGAAGCGTCAGCGAATTGTTTAAAGTGTTCGCCTTATATAGAGAATGATTGTTTGTTATTTTACACTTGTTTGACTTTTGGCACAAGTCTCCGACAATGGCGATGTCGATGGCGATGGCGACACACCCACAGTCGATTTTGGGATTATCCGTTGGTCATTCGGGTGGGTGTTGTTTGGCGCTGCGGCTCCAACCACCAGAAATCCATTAATAATTTTCTTGCGCCACATTGCAATTAAATATTATTGTACAATTAAAGAGAAATGCAAAAGACAGCGCGACAAAGAGCATTCGCTGTATTCGCATCGTGTAAATTTCAGAATCGCAAATTTATTGACGACGATTTCTTTTCACTGCCCGCTCGCCTGCTCCCGCCACGCATCGGCCTGGCATCGGCCTGGCATTGGGCATGGATGGGGATGATAATAAGTTTGGCCTGGGGATGGGTCGACACGGTCTGCCTCGTTTCTGTGTGGGCTCAGTGCGCCCAAACTGACGTCGCCTGGGTTTGTCAATTTGTCAATTTGTCTGATTGTCTGTCAGCTTTTAAATTTATTAAACAAGATCTGTCAGAGCGCATTATTGTGCATGAGTATGGAATTTTTATATTAAAAATTGCATTTTTCTGACCGAGTAAAAAAATACTTTAATAAATCAATGAATAATTTGATGGAATTCATAAGTGTTTCTTGAAGCCAAATAATTGAGTCAAATGAGCAAAACAAATGAACTCTCATATTTCACAGCGGAGGCAATGCAATGCATACAAGTGAGAGAAATAATATATATACATATATACACATAAATTATATTATAAGCCATAAAACTTTCATCCTCTGGAGTATCAAGTTGCATCATAACATAATAAGAAAATCTTTCTCACCATTCATCAATTCATTTTTACGATGGGAATTTACATAATTGATTTTAAGAATTACTAACAGGATTCATTAGTCGATATAAAGATCTTAAGTCACACATAAATGCTACTACGTGACCTTGAAAAGCATGATAAATATTTGTAAGGCGAATTGCATAAATATGACGTCATAGCAGCAGAGTCAGTTTTGTAGGTGTTGGTGTGAGACTGAGAGCTTCAACAGAGTTATTGTAGAGATATTATCTGACTGAATTTAGGGAGTGAGAGAGAGAGAGAGAGAGACAGGCAGAGAAATATATTTGTTGCCTGACGGAGAGACGGGCAGCTAGACGATCCGTGATGGAGAATCATACGCTTAAATATTTGAGGCTAACGATCATTATATTATAGCTGTGCGAATAAGCTGCAAAAACATATTTGTTTCTGAAATTCGATCGAACCTGTCAACAACGAGATCATTGATCTAATGTGGATCTAGTAATCTACAGCAGTCAGTGCTAGTTCACACAAAGCTTTTATTATATTATATTGTACTCGCAGCTACCTGGTATGGTTATACATACATTATATTATATTATATTGTATTATATTGTATGGCATATTATATTAGCTGTCTACGTCAATTGTCAAGTGTTTCCTTTAAGTAATCAGAGTCTGCTCGATGAGATAATGAAATCTCTCAAATCTCCTTGCACTGTATAATGAATATTCTAAGCTAAGTGCAAGGTACAAGCGACCTAGATTAGCTAAAAAAGTAATTTCAAGAAGTAAGATAATGTGAGTGAAGTAAGAAAGGAAAGTCAATAAGATGGATGTGAAACGAATTCGGTAGAATTTGAACTATGTGTTGATTGCACGATACACGGCTGTCCCTTGTTGTCTGTATTTAATTGAATAGTAGCAAAACATTCAATTGAGCTGCTTACATTCACATTCATATGTGCAAATATGCGCATACTGCAAGCAAAAGTTGAGAATTCGATTCGATTCGATTCGCTTCTCACATAATAAAAAATAATGTTTATTTTTATGACCTGCAAATGCAAAATGCGGCAATGGGAAAGGGAACGAATGCCC